ATTATCTGTTATGATTTAATTTGGGAAACAGAACCATCCAGTGATATAGAACCAGGAATTCATTGTAAGACATAGATCATATCACTGTGGAAAAAGACAAGGAGTAAAAATTTCAAAGGTGATAGGATCAGACAAACACCATCCACTAGAGTTCATTAATGGGAGCTTATGAAGAAACCTACAGACTCTGATGTTAGTTCTGAATTCAATGACAGCAGGGAAATAGCTCAGAAGAAACCCTGCATATAAAATGGGGCAAAATGGAATGCTTGAAAATAAACTGGAAATGGAACTAATGGAACAAAATGGAACTAATGTCTCATTTTTACCACATCTAGACCTGATGCTGCAGATAATCTACAGGATACCATTTCCTTTCCTATAGAGCTACACATGCTCTTGGCCCATAACTCAGGGTAGTTAACAGAGGAGATCCAGAGAGGTACAGAAGGGCCAACTACTACCCGTACCAAATGAAGGAAGGGAGCAGAGCACTATCAGCATGCACATCTGAATGTAATAGCTGCTGCTTTAAGTTTACCTTCTAAGTACCACACAGTTCTCATGGGCAGCTCTAAGCCAGTACCAAACAAACAAATGAAACTGGGAACTGTGACTTTTTGTTCAATTGAACTAACACAATAAAGAAAACCACACTATATATTTAAAAATACTCAGAATCTGAACATTTTTCATCACCATTATTACCACCCCAGTAATAAGGATTCTTGTTTGAATTCATGAAATAAACTCTTAATTGATTTCTTTGACCCTTCTTAGCCATTATTATCACAAGAATGAAAGGAATTCTTGTCAATCAAGTGAAATCATGCAAATTTTCATCCCAAACTCTGCAAAGCATCCTACTTCTCTCAGGGTAAAAGTTAAAGTTCTTACAACAGCCAGAAGGTAAACAACACAGGGCCTAATCTCTTCCAATTCTCTCTCCTTCGCTTAAGACACCTCTTGCCGGATATCTCCCAATGCTGATTATAGGATTTTCTGCTAGTCTTTCTGTTAGGCTCATCTCCCATCTATCTAGTTGGTTAACTCTCTTCTCACCTTCTCCAATTCTTTGTTCATATCTTACTTTAACCAATGAGACTTTCAATACTTCAGTTTGCCCCTCCTCTCCTTCAACTTGGCACAGCCAATCCCTCCCATGTTATCTCTTTTAAAAGTTGTGTTTTGTTTTAAAAGGTGTTTTGTTTTGTTTTGTTTTGTTTTGTTTTGTTTAGTTTTTTGAGACAGGGTCTCACTATGTTGTTGAGACTGACCTGGAAGTCACTGTGTAGCCCAGGCTGGTCTCAAATTCACAGAGATCCTCCTGCCTCAGCCTCCTGAGTGCTGGGATTACAGGCGTGGGCCACCATGCCTGGCTCTCATTATATTATTTTTAAATTAATCATGTTTCAAGTTTTTGATGCAGTCTTTTCGAAGATAGGTGATCACATGAATGATTAAAAGCAATGATTTTTTTAGGGGGTGTCTTATTTTCTCTAGAAAAAAAAT